CTTGCTCAAGGTCACATAGGTGGTAAGTGGGGATCTGGGACTGAATCCAGGCTGTCTGGCTCCAGAGTTTTTGCTTTACCAGGCTCAAGGCTCCCTGGCAGTCTAGACAGAGAGACATCTATCTCATAAAAAAAGCTCTAGATAGAGGGACCGTCCCTGGACTTCCCGACTCTCCTTGCCCAGGGCATGGCAAATGTCGGACTGAATTGGTTTGCTGAAATGCACAACACAAGAGGAACTTTTCAAGCTCAAATCCTACGGTATAGACATGAGCATGGAAGCCCAGAGAGAGGCAGGCACTTGCTTGAGATCCCCACAGTTACTCTGTGACACATCGGTGAGATCTGTAGTCCAGATTTCGCCCCATGAGCATACGTGGGGTCCTCCCTGAGGTCTGGAGAGGGTGGGAACTACACATCTGGGGACGGGCTGGAGGGGCGGCCCCAGCATCTCTCTGCTCCAAACTCAGCCATCTGCATGGCCCTGTGTGTGACTAGCGTCAGAGCGCTGAGCTAGAGGGGGCCGGCGTGAGCCTGGGCTCTAGGAAGGAGGGAGCGGGCTCTGTGATACAGCGGACGGCACAGGGCGCCAAGAATCAGAGGAACTTAGCCTTGTGACCTTGAGCACCCCCTTCAAACCCTGAGACCCAGACTGAAGAGACCCACAGCCCCAGCCACAGGGGGTGTTGTGGTGCTCACTGACTCTCATTCCAGGGCATGGGGCTTCTGAAGGTGGGCTGGTAGGAGCAGGGAATAAAAAGGGTCGGAGGTCTGGCATTTCAGAATCCTAGGGGTTCTGGAAGGGACTGAGCCCCTTGCTGTCTGAGTCCAGAATAACTATAAAGTCTATGTCGAACCCTAACTCCCCATGAGGGGCGAGGGTGACCTGGATGGGCTGCCATGTTTCCTTTGGGGGTCTTAAACCTGTGACTATCTGGCTTTGGGGATGGGGCCAGATTGTTCCTGGCAGCCAGGCATCTGCAGTGGGCCTGCTGTTTATCTTCCCTCCCAGAGTCGCTTAGCAGTCACCTGGCTCTGAGCGCGGAGCAGGTTGCTAACTTCTGCTGACACTGGCAGGGGCGGCCGCTCCCAGCCTGATACCTCATGGCAGCCACACTTGCACAAATCTTTAATTGTTTAGTTTAAAGAATTGTGTTTTGACCGCGAGGGGATTTTGGCTGGAGCTCAAGAAGTGATAATGATATTTCGCTGCCAAGATGTCTCCTTGGCTCTCTGTGTGTTAATGTGCACTTTCAAGACGCTCCAATTAACTGCATCAGCTCTCGGGGAGAGAAAGGGAGAGGAGAGGCAGAGAGAAGGGAGGGAGAAGGCTGGCGATCCGAGGAGGCAGGCAGGCAGGCAGGCAGGCCCCCCTCCCATCTTTTTATTAGCAAACAAATGAGGGGGGGATGACAAAGTTCTTGAAGACAAGCTCCAAGGGAAGTGACATTGGAGAAGACCAGGAGAGGTTCTGAAGTCAGATGCCCCAGCCCAACCAGAGGCTTTCCTGGCCTGGAGCTCCCAGGGGCCCCCCTGCATCATTTGCCCCCACCGTGGTCTCCTCACTCTCTCCTTCCTCCACGCCAGCCTCTGCCTACACGCATTCGGTCTCCCCATTACTCAGAGGGAGAAGACAGAGCCACTACAGACCCTGACTCTGCTTCTACCCCTAACCCCAGCCCGTCACCATACTGGCCTCCTCCCCTCCTACGCCCTCCCCTCTTCCTCAGCCCTGCAGCCACACCAGTCTCTGCTGTTCCTTGAGCTGAACATGCCGGCAGACTTACCTGGCGGACATTGTGCATTTGCTGTTCCCTCTGCCTAGAATGCTCTTCACCGAGATAGCTGCTTGCTGGCTTCCCTATCTCCTTGAGGTTTTGACACAGATGTCACCTTCTCAGGGAGGCCATATTAAAAATCGTAATACGGGGCCGTCACTCCCTATCCCTCTTCCCAGCCTTGTCCCTATAGCATTTACCACCATCTCACACAGGATTTGCCCACTTTTTAATTTTATTATCTGCCCCACCACGGGCACATTGACCTTGGAGGGGGCAGAGTTTTGTGTTTTGCGCCCTGCCGTAAACTTTCAGCAAGTAGAACAGTGCCTGGCATCTGGGAGGGGCTCCATCCGTAACTGTTGATCGATAGGGCATGAACGAACTCTGGACTTCCCATTATGCCTTGTCCCCACACGTGTCCCTATCTGAGTCCTAACTTGTGGCCCCCCCTCACTGTAGGCCTGCTGCTACACTAACCCCTCCAAATCTGTTTCCTGACCCTCAGATCTCACTGTTGCCCTCTTAGCCCTGATTCAACTGCAGCCCTGGCCCTGCCCTTCACCTCTGCTCTAAACCTTGCCGCCCCCCCCCCCACCTTCTTAAGTAAACGCCCTCTGCCAGTCCTGGAAGCCTCCAGCTCCCCGGGGGTTCTGAGATCCACTCCACCCTTGGCTTGAAGCAGAACCCCCACTGAAAACCCCAAAGGGGCCACCCTGCAGGCTCTCCAGGTGAAACCCCGAAGAGGGGATGGGGCTCTGGCTCTGGCCCCCGGTTGCTCCTGCAAGGCCACACTCCTTGTCATTGTCAGAAGAGCTGTGGAGGAGGACTCTGGGTGCAGCAGTGCTGTCTCAGGCTGGGAGTGGCTGTGGGAGGCTCCTCCGGTGACTCGACTGTCCCCTGGGGGTCAGAGGAGGTGGAGGGGACTCCCTCGCCTCCCAGCTCTGTCTGCTCCCGAGTCAAGCTGGAAAATGACTTTTCCACATGCTGAGGTGTGAGCTCACAACGGCCTCCCCCATCCCCACTCACACACACACTCATGCTCAAAAGCATCTAGAATCACAAACACACTCTAAAGCTGCGGTGCAGGTGACAGCTAAGCCTTCCTCTAAAGCAGCATCCGCCCCACAGAGATCCCCGCAAAGCGGAGAGAAGGGGGCAGCTGGCGGGAGGTGGGGGCCCAGAGGCCGGCCAATCCAGACAGCATGGGTGCGGGCTGAGGCCCAGGCGGAAGTGGCCAGAATCCTACTCCCCCCGCCCCTCCTCCCCCCTCCCCTCCCTCCTCCCCCCTCTCCTCCCTCCTCCCTCCTCCCTCCTCTGCAGTACCCTTCTGGCCTCCGAGGGAGGGTCCTCGCGGGCTCGGGTTACGAGCAGTCGAAGACAGGAAGATTTAGCGGGGAGCCGGCGGCACAGAGCGCTGTTTGTGCGCCTTTGAAACCGGAGGCCGGAGGCGGGGGCGGGCGGGCGGCGGCCGCGGCCCGTGAATTATCGCTGCGCTCGGCCCGACTTCCAGGGCCCTGGCCGCCCGCCCCGGCCCGGCTCCTGTTTCTCCAGGTGCCGGGGTGTTTGCCTACGTGTTAATTTGCCCAGTTGACGCGCCCCTTCTCGGCCCCGGCCCCCCAAGGGAAGGCCAGCCCTCCCTGGGGTGGGTCAGGGGGGTCCTTGCCGGGAGACCCGGGAGCTGCGGCCCAAGTCTTGCCCTGGGCCGTGAGGGACCAGAGGTAGGGTGGGAGGTGCGTGTTTGTGGAGGGTGGGTGTTAGCTCATAGGCTCTACTCTGTCCTCTCAAGACCAGACACCCCTCTTCCCACAGCGCCAAAGGGATCCCGATGGGCCTGCGCACTCACAGCGACCCCTACTGGCCCCTCAGCGGCCACCGACCCACCCAGCCACCTCCTCCAGGAAGCCGGCAGGGCTTCCCCTCCCTGGAAAAGAGCCCTGTGGAGAATGTCTGTGAGGTGCTTTTGGCTTCCCAGATATCCTGTCACTCCGTCTTCACAAGAGGTCATGAGCTCTGTCTAGCTCCTACATCTATGATTTTTAGAGACAACATTTTAAAGACAGGGAAACTGAGGCTCTGAGAGGCTAAGCGACTTGCTTGAGGCCACACAGCCACGAGAAGCAAGGTCCGGATTTAAACTGAGTTTTTCTCAGTCCAGTGTCCCCCACCTTTCCCCTCATGCATATGGGAAGAGGGTGCTGAAAAGGGAAGGAGAGAGGGGCACAGAGCGAGTGTGGGCCGGATGGTAGATCCACCCACTGGGCAGGGCACAGGTCTAGCAGCCCGAAAAGGTCTCAGGGATACCAGGGACCAGCCTGACCTCACCCTTTGATCCTGGGCGCTCCTCTCCCAGGGTCGGAAATTGGGGCAAGAGTTTGCCACCAGCCCCAGCTGACCCTCGGAGTGGCCCGTGGGGAGGCTCCCACACCTCCTACTGTCCCCATCCCATAGGCCTGAGGCCCAAGGAGGGCGGTGAATCCTAGCAGGCCTGGGAGCTGGAGGCAGCAGATTAGAGAGGGCTTGTCTGCTGCACAAAGCTGGCAGTGCAGAGGGTCTCCTGGTAGCAGGGCCCCTCCCCACTTCCCTTCCCAGGCCGGGCAGAACTGGGCTGGGGGGAACTTCTGCTGCCGCTTGGCCCTGCTCTCTCTTGCCAGGTCCCCTCCTCATCCGTGAGGCAGAGGAGCTGTGCCTCCCCTAGCCCGGGCTTCTTGCCCTGCTGCTCCCTCCTTCCTGGCTGCAGAGCCCCCTCACCTCTCTCTCTCACCGTCTTTCCCAAAGATGGAGAGAACCTCCTCCATCCAGCCTGCCCCTTCTCCTCTCTCCTTGGCTCCAGGGCTCCAGCTAACCCTTTGCCTATCAAGTGGGCCGTGGGGGGGCTACGGGTCCCCTCCCTCCCCTGCCCGAGGGGAAATCTCAAATCTCTTGAGCAGAGCTGGGTGATAGGCAAGGCAAGGAGGCAGAAGCATCGAGAGTTTGGGGTGCTTCAGCCTCCCGGGGAACCTCTCTGCCCATATTTTCCTTTCCCACCCCCTCCTTTCATGTGCCCCCTGAAGCCAGAGCTCTGTCCCTGCCCCAGAGCAAACCCCATACCCCTGCACCATCACCTTGACCTTACTCTCCCGGAATTTCCACCCTTCAGGGTCCCATTTCCTTACTTCCTGCTCCTGGTGGGACCCCATGGCTGGGGGCGAGACACGGTGTGTGTGTGGGGGGGGGGGGGGGGGCGGGCCTGAGTGTGCTACTGGGAGGGAGGGCTTCAGAACCTTCTCACAGCCCCACCTGCCAGCTTCGTGCAGTGGAAGTAAACCAGATCGCCCTGGATTTGAATCCAGTTTTACCATCCACTAGTGTGGTCATGGGCAAATTATTTAACCTCTTTGGGCCGTGTCTTTTTATTTGGAAAAGAATCCATCTTTTTCTAATCTATCCACTGGAGTTGGTTGTGAGAACTATCCATGCCTGGCACCTAGTAGGTGCTTTATAAATGATGCTTTATTCCAGGCTTGTTGGTGAGTGAGCACCTGTGTGTGTGGTGGGTGAGGGTGTGCCCTGGGGAGAGCAGGAGGGAGAGAGAAGGCAGAGCTGGCCAGATGGCAGGCAGCCTAGAGCAGGCTCAAAGAAATCCCTGGTGCTGAGGCCTCGGAAAAACTCTGGAAATGTTTGGGAATGGATCAAGGTGGGAACTAAATGGTCAGCAGTATCTTTGCTGAGTTCCAGTGGTTGCCTTGGCCAGGAGTTAGGCACGATGGAGGACAGAGACGGATTCATTTATGGATCCAAAACAGAATTTTTGAACACTTTGGATGTGCCAAGGACTATGCTGGACCAATTGTGTTGATAGCCACATTTCCTGCCCTCCTGGTGCTTCCACTTGGTGGAGAAACACAGACAAAAAGAAAGTCAATGGACACATAAAGCAATGGCAAAAGAACTGCAAGAAAATCAACAAGAGGCTCAAATGGACAGTTACCCAAGAGCATGGCGAGGAGGTCGAACCTGCAGGACAAGGAGGAACTGGGGAGGAGCAGACCAGGCAGAAGGGACGGATGGCGCAGAGGTAACAGGGCAGGAAAGATCTTAGCCTGTTTGCAGAACGGACAAAAAAGAAAAAGAAAAAGAGAACAGTGGTGAGGCAAGAGCACAGGGAATGAGGGGAGAGTGGGAGAGATCAGTGGAAGAGGCCAACGAAAGGCCACGATGTGTATGTAGGACAATGTTGGCCACTGTGAGGTACTGCGATTTTCTTGTAAGTGCAGTTGGGGGTCATTGGGAAGAGAAGAGTGACACCTTCTGATTAATGCTCCAAGAGTGTCCCTGATGCTCTGAGAAGAAGCGATGGGTGAAGATACCGGTGGGAGCAGGGGACCAGTGGGGGCAGAGCAGGCGTCAGGCTGGAGGGGAGATGGACTGGCCTCAGCTGGTGGCAGTGAAAGTGGTGAGATAAGATGGGTTTGACCAAGCAGGGCTGGCTGATGGGCTGGACAGGAGGGGAGAAGGGAGAGACCAGAGGACGCCTAAGCCGTGGGCTTGAGTGTTTTGGAGGATGTGAGAAGCGCTTCCTGAGTGGGAAAGCCTGAGGGAGGAGGTGTGGGGAGGAACACCAGAACTCTGTCCTGGTTCTCTTACACCGGAGATGTCCGTGAGGATGGGAGCGGAACAGTTGGAGAAATGAATCAGGAGGGAAAGTTCGGGCTGGAGATAAAATTTTAGGCCTTAAGCAAGAGAATCTCTGAATCCGTGGTCTGGGACGAGACCACCTGGGAAAAGTGTGTACATGGAAGAGAAAAGGGGTCCAGCCTGGGAAGGAGGAAGCCCACCATTTAGAGTTAAAGAGAGGCCAGCGACAGCAAGTAAGGAGTGACTGAGCCTGCGGGGGGAGGGGGCGAGGAGAGGGTGATGGGAGGTTCGGGAGAGGAGGAGGTTTCAAGGGGAAGGTGCCGCCATCACGTCAAAGGCTGCCGAGAAGTGGAGGAAGGTAAGGACGGAAAAATGACTGAGGGTCTTGGCCACAGTGGGTGGCTTCGGCAGAGCATGTCGGTGAGAACTGAGTGCCAGCAGGAAGGAAAGCTCACTTGGCTGCAGCTGAGGGAAGACCTCTGGGGGGAGGTCCCCTGAAGAGAGCAAATGAGGGGTGAGAGGTTGAATTGTGTTTCTTCTTTTTCCTTCAACTTTGCTACATGCACCCTCTCCCGGTTTCCGCAGCATCTCCAAATCCTGCAGCACCAACCATTCCCACTATGGCAGAAGCTGCTGGTAATTGACTCCAATATCTATTCTCATCCTCTCCCTTAGTAATAGAATCATCAATTCCTTTATTGCACCTGTTCCCACTCAGATAAGGACTATATTTCCCAGTCTCTTCTGCAGCTTGGTGTGGCCATGAGACAGGGTCCTGGCTCATGATATGTCATGAAAGTGTGTGGGGCTTCCAGAAATCTTCTGAAATAGAAGGAGAATCCTTCTTTGAGGATCCTTTTTGCTGCTCACTGAAATGAGGGTGTGATGGCTGTAGCTTGAGCAGCCCTTTTGGATCATGAAATGGAAGCTATGTATTAAGGAAGACAGAAGAAGAGAACAGAAGGAGCCTGGATTTCTAATGATCTTGTGAACCCACCCACCTGACTCCGAGCTTCCTATATATGGGATTTCTGTAGGTGTCAGAGAAATTAACTTTTATCTTTTACAAGCAACTGTTATCTTGGACTTTCTGACACTTGCAAAATCCTAACTCTAACTGATACACTAGCAGGGATTGCCTGGGAGCAGGGGGACAGATGGTCACAGCATCCCCTCGCTTGAACTTTGAGGGATGTATGGCCTTGCCAGTAAAGAGCAGGGCCAAGGCCTCCACCTCAGCTCCTCAGACACGGGGTCTATGGAGGGCTTCGCAGGGGCCGAGGAGCCTACTCTGGAGGTTGGTGACCCAACGGTTTGCTCAGCCAGGACTCTGGAGGGCGCCCAATATGCTGGCTATCCTGTTTGTGCCTCACCCCAGCCAGGCCTACTCCCCACCTTCTCTGCTCTGTGCCAGGGAGGCCGAGCCCTCTGGCCTCCTGCTGGTTTCGGCCAATGGGAGCAGCCAGCAGGGCTCTGGGAGAGGGAGGAGAGACCCAGCCCCAGGTCTCTGGTGTGGCTGCATCTCTCCAGGACTCAGCTCCTGCCGGGCAGCCCCTCCTCCAGGACTGCAGCCTGCACTGGACTCATCCGGCACTTTTTTCCTCCCTGACCCCAGACCTGGGGTGGTAATGGCCTTCCATGCTGTAGTCTCCATGCCTCAACATTCTCAGCTCCTCCTCTTAACTCTTAAATGGAAGATCCCTTTCTTTAAGTCTCGTCATTTGAACCAACTGGGGGTGAATCCGTTGGGATCCTGCCTGATCCAGCCTCTTCTGTTCAGGCCAGGAAGAGACCCCTGGGCAGAGGCAGGCCTGAGGGACAAGAGAGACAGCAAGAGGGGCAGAAACAGACAGAACAAAATAGGGGCAGAAGGGTGGGAACAGAGAGATTAAGAAGGAGAAGACACTGGTAGACAGAGATGGAGCAGATAGAAGCAGAGCCGAAGAGGTGGAGCCGGGCACGGAGGGAGAGACAGACAGACAGACAGATGAGGCCACCAGAGGCAGGGAAGTCCACAAAGACACTAAGAAAAGGGCTGATACTGAGAGGCCAAAATGACAAAGGCTGAGACAGATGCTTGAGCAGACAGAGATTGGAAATGGGGCAGAGAGAGGGAGAAAGGGGAATATACAGAGGTTTAGTGACAGAAGGATCCCTGGGGGCAGCAACGTAGAAAAGGGAAGAAAATCCCCAGCACATTTATTTAATTAAAAGGCCTCAGCCCTAAACCAAAGATCCCCCTGCTCCAAGCCTGGGCTCTGGACCCTTCTTGTCTCCTCCGTGCACAGGGGCCAGTGCGGTGCGTCCGGCCTTCTTCAGTGGGACCAGGTGTGTCAACAGGGTTCCACTCTGGAGGGCTGAGGAGCATCTAATACAGGGAATCAATGAGGGATGTGAATGCAGATGCTGACAATGCGAATGCGACTGTGAAGCTGTTAGCACCTGGGCCTGAAAGGGCAGGGGAGGTGGTGGTTCCCTAAGTCAGTGAGTGCTGGAGCTGTAGGAAAGGCTGCCGGGACACTGAGGGAACAAACACCCCCACTTCTCTCTTCCACCCTCTGGCCCTCTGACGGTGCCTGCATTGGCCAAACCCAACGGGGAGCCAGAAGACGGAGAGCTGAGTGATGCAGTCCAGAGGGTCAGGCTCTGGGCGCACAGGCGGGGGGAGAAGGTTGGAGAGTGGGTGTGGAAGGGCAGATGGAGACATTTAGCACCCTGGATCCCTTCTCCCTAGGGTGGGCTCAGAAGGGTCGGAAGCTGCCCAGTCAGGGGCACTCAATGGTTCTCTTAGCCTCAGTTTCCTCATCCATAAACTCAGAGTAAGAATGATGCCCACTTGCTGGGACTGTACCTGTGAAGGTGCCTGGCATGGGGCCTGCCACACCGCAGCACCTGGGCACGGCTAGGGGGGGCTGCTCTCCCTCTCTGGTGCGGAGCCCCTGCAGACTCCTGCAGTGGTGCACCGCTCCAAGGAGACACCCCGTCCTCAGGCAGGCAGTGAGCTGAGGCCAGGACACCTATAGAGCAGCGCTCCAGCGCGGAAAGGATGGAAACACCCAGCAGGAGGAAGGGGCAGACGCCAGGCCAGAGAGTGTCACCAAGAAGGGCTTCTAGAGGAGGTGATTGGGACTGAGTTTTGATTTATTATTTTAAAATTTTTACTCCAGACATTTCAAACATATACTAAGTAGACAGAACACTATAAAGAGCCCCTGTGTATTCCATCACCCAGCCTCAACAATGCGCAATGCATGGCCAATCTTGTCCCATCTCTTCCCATATTATTTTGAAGCAAATCGCAGACATATCATTTCAGCCATAAATATTCTATAGGTATCTAAAAAAAGATAAAGACTCTTTTAAAAAATAACTTCAATACCATTATCATGTAAAAAGTTAAAATTAAATCTTTAACCCCACTAGCAAGGAGCATACCCAGCACCCAGATCTAGGCTTCCAGAACCATTCTCCAGGAAAACAAACCAGGGCTCCTTGGAGAAATGGCTGACTCCAGGACTGGGCAGGAAATATGCCAGATGAACTTGGAGTGTCTTACAGGGCCAGAAAGTATGGAAGTGCTAAACAAAGGGAAAACAAAAATCCCACACTGGTGGGGTTATGTCAAAGGGACACACGAGCCAACTGACATAGCTCCACTGGCCAAAGTTAGAACAACTGAGCAACAAAATAAATATGGTAGTATGGGATTATTACCCAAAGTATAAAATAAATATCCCAGAGTTCATGCTGGTATAAATAATTGAATAAATAAATAAATGAGGGAGAAGAGAGAAACCTCTCGTGCAGAAGAATTCTAAATAACTTATGTAGATACTCCGCCCTCAATGGGGAGCGGGCAGCATAGCTTCCACCCCTTCAGTGTGGGCTGGCCATAGTGACTTCCTTCCAAAGAAGATGGAAAGTGAGGGAAAGAGTAACTACAGTGGAGAACCTGACCACCACCACCTCAGGCCGGTGATCAAGGTCAATGTCAACAGTCACACATCATGCCGATACTATGCACCCCTGACAGGATGTGATGAGAATGGCTCTTTACCTCTGTGATCTTCCTCTCCCAAACCCCAAACCCCAGTCTAACCATGAGAAAAACATCAAATTCCAATAGAGGGACGTTCTACAAAATATCTGACCGGTACTTCTCGAAACTGCCAAGGTCATCGAAAATAAGGAAAGTCTAAGAAACTGTCCCAGCCGAGAAGAGCCTGAAGAGACAGGATAACTAAATGTAATGTGGGATCCTGGAGGGGATCCTGGCGCAGAAAAAGGGTACTAAGTAAAAACTAAGGAAATTTCAGTAAACTATGGCCTTTAGTTAACAATAATGTATCAAAATTGGTTCATTAATTGTGTCAAATGTATCTATACAAATGGAAGATATTAATAATAGGGGAAACTGGGTGGGGAGGGATGGTATGTGGGAACTTTCTGCACTATTTTCTTAATTTTGCTATAAATCTAAAACTGTTCTAAAAAAAGAGCATTATTAAAAAATTGTCTTTAAATCAACAAATATCCAGTCAGTGTCCAAATTTTCAATTGTATCACAAATATATCTTCCTTTCGGCTTATTTGAATCAGGTTCAAATTAGGTTGACATATTGCAACTGGTTATGGACCGGGGTTTGAGGGCGGTGATGGTAATACTAAGGGGGAAAGGATCATTCATATCTTGGGTAGGAGAAGTGGGGGAGGGGTATGTTTGCCTGAGCAGCATATGGGGGAAAGGAGGTTTCAGGGTGGGGACATGAGGGCACGAGGCCCTCCTGTCTCAGTCCTTCAAGGTCCCAAAAGAAATGAGCTCAAGGTGCCAGCCATGCCTCCAAATCCCATGTGACATCATAGTCATGGGTCTACACCCTGAGAAGCCACGGTAGCTTCACCAAGCCTGGCCTGGGAGGGCTCCCCGGACGACCACTGCACCCCAATCTCCCCCCGATCCTGTGCCACGGAAGGCCTCACAGAGAGAGCCCTTGGTTCACTTGGGGAGCTCTTTCCTTCCCTGAGGGATGAGGCCGTCGCTCCACTTCTTAATTCTTGTGACAGGCTCTGGGAAGGAGGGTGCTGGGACCCGGCGTTAGGCAGAGACATAGGCAGGAGGAGGCATCCTTCACACACCTCTGGGCCCAAAGACCCATGTCCAGGCTGTGCAGGGCTGGAGGAAGAGGGCTCCTCGCCTGAACATAACCCTCTCAAGGCCCTGCTTGAGCGGGAAGCAAGGCTGAAGACAGGAAATCTAGAAGGCTGGGATGAACCCCACGGGGGAGAGACCCCTGGGGACCCTGCTTGGCCCCTGGAACTCTGGGAACAGGCTTTCTCTAATGCTTCCCCATGCTAGAGTCCTCTGCTGCAGGCGCCCCCACAATCCACCAGATGCCATTTTCCATGTCTTCCTTCCTTTCTCAACCCCCTGCCCACCCCAAGATTACCACCACAATGTATCCCTTCCCACCCCAGGCCGCTGTCCTCCCGCCTGACAGAGCTAGGGGTCCTTTCTCCTCCCCTTGACATCAGCCACCTTGATAGATTTCTATTCAGAGATGGACGAGAAACGTACACACTAACTCTGAATCCAATTTGATTACAAGTAGGACCGATGTTTTTGCGGTAATGTAGCTGGAATCCCAGGGCTGGAATTGATTTCTCAGCAAGTAAGAGAAAGGGAATCCAGGAATTTCTTTGGCACCACCATCGGACAGGGGACCTCCCGCCTGTGCTGAGACATCTGCAGTGACGGGAGGCCCAGAGCCCCAAGAGGCTGCCCACTCTGCTGTCGAATAAGCTTGAACCACTAGAAATGCCTTCCTTCTCTTGAACCACAACCGGGACTCCTGGTCTTGGGCGGTGGGTGTTCAGAGGTGCATGGAGGAGGCACTGCTGAGCGCACACCACTTTTCTTGGGAAAAGAATTTTTGTTGTTGTTATGCAAAGAGCTGCAAAACCTGCTTTCTTTAACCTTCCTCAGCTAGCGGTCCAAGTGCAGCGTCAGGGAGAGTCTATCCCTGTGTCTTCAGCCTCTGAGCCTTAGGGGCCGAGGGTTTGAAGAAGGGGAGGCGATGGGGAAGACTGAGAACAGGAGGAGGGAGGAGGAGGGGAAGGCGGCCTGCAGATCCGGGAGGAGGCAGGAGGAAGCCTGGGCTGGTATGAAAACTTGGGGTTAGGAAAGAAGAAGGAAACCTAGAGGTCTTCCAGTCCCCAAAAAAACCCTCTTTTGTGAGCTTTCCTTCCTGGCAACCTTGGGCAAGGGACTGAACCTCCTGAAGCCTCAGTATCTTCATCTGGAAAGTGGGTATAATATTAATATCCACCTCCTAGGCTTGCTGTGGGGATTACACGAGACATTGTGAAGTAGTGCCTGGCACATCCTAAGGGCTCAATACAATGTAGTAATAATATATTATACATAATAAAATATTATATTATGAATAATATACTATTATTTAGTTTTTTCTGAGCCCCAATTCTCCCACCGGTTTCAGAATCTGGGCTGCCTTTCTGCATCTGTCTAAGCAATCTGTTCCTCCCACGTGTGTGGTTGGTGCTCCCTGCTGGGGGCAGCTGCCATCCCCGGGTGGAGCTGGCAGAGGCCCCCCTGTCCATTACTCAGGGTTTCCAGAGCCCTGGCAGCGACTCCCTCCTCCTCTCCAGGCGTCAGGCTCCTGAGAGACAGGAAGTGTACATGCCTGGAGAGGCAGCGGGTCTTCCCCCAGTTAACCTGCCCACAGTCAGCATCCTAGAGCCAGGTCCCGGGGGCTCTCTGTGCTGGTCGCACTGGGCACCTGCATCAGCCTCTTCCTCTTCCAAGCCCTACAGGGGCCCTGATGGCAGGGCACTCAGGCAATCTGTGTGCTGGCCTGGGCTCTGGCTCAAACTTGCTATGTGACCTTGGGCAAGTCTCTTCCCCTCTCTGAGCGCGTCTGCTCCTGACCAAAAGAAAAAGGAGAAAAGAATTAGGACTCCATGACTTGATGATGTAAGTTATTCAGATGAGAAACGGGAAGGGAAAGTTAAGGAAACAGGATTTTATGCAGTCAGCAGAGTCCAGGCACTGGTCTTCAAGGCACAGCGATGCGTGCGTGTGTGTGTGTGTGTGTGTGTGTGTGTGTGCGCGCGCGCGCGCGCGCGCATGGAGTATCTGAGTAACTCTCCCCAGGTTACTCAGGTCATCGGAGGAATGGAGACCCAGTCTGACCAACTCCCAGACTCCAGAGCACATGCCTCTCTTTTTAACTTCTCTCCGTCCAGCGCGGCCTCTTCCAGGGGCTCTAACCCTGTTTACAGAAATGGGAATTTGCATGATGAAAATAACCCCAGCCGGACTGCGATTTTACTGCGCTTGGCACGGGGCTCGGAAAAAGCGGCTGCATAGCCAATTACTGGAATTTTTAAACACAAATAATATTTTATGGGATCAGTGGGCTGGCGCGGGGCCGCCGCACCCGGCGCGGCTCCTCCGCCCACAAACAAGCTCCGATTGTGCCGCGGGCCGGCGAGCGCGCCAGCGCCGGGTGGGAGGGTGCGCGTGCGGGGGCCCGGCGCGCAGGTGCAGCGCGGCTCCGCAGCCCGGGGGCCCGGCCGGCAGGGAGCGCCCGCGGAGCCCGGGCCGGGGCGGGTGCGCGGGGCGCCCGGCTCACCTGCAGCGCCGCGCCAGGAAGCGTTCAGCGCGAGAGGGCGCGCCCGGCGCTGGCTCTCCCGCCCCGCGGCCGCCCGCTGGGCCTGGCCCGCGCCCCGCGCCCTTGGCATGGCCGTGGCCGCCGCGCCGCCTCCGGAAGGCCGGCTTCCCGGAACAGCCGGAGGGCGGCGGGGAATCCGTGCCGAGGCCCTGGAGCCACCCCTCGCCTTCCCTCTCCCGCCTGAGCCGCGCTGGCGCACTGGAGGCGGACTCTGGAGGCGCGGGCTGCGCCCAAAAGGCCAGAGCAGGTCGAGGGGCAGCCAAGGGTACGGGGACTTCCCCACTGTCCCGCCAGGGATCCCCATTCCCCAACGCCCCGAGCCCGCCAGGCCCGCCCAGGGACCCGGGAGGCTGGCCACCCGGGCAGCCGCGCGCTACCCTGCCTGGGGCTCGCCCTCTGCGCTCTGCCAGCCTTCCACCCGAGCGCCCGGCCCCAGCGCGCACAGGGTTAAGCAGGAGCAGGTGTGTAGCCAGATGCCGCTGACCACCCCCCTCCCCCGCAGCCCCGTCGGCCTCCTCCTCCTCCGCCCACCCGCTCAGAACCAAACAGTCCCAAATAAAAGTGCTATTGTTGCTTTCCCCACCCCCGTCGCTGCCCCGCCACCTGGAGCGGAGCCCGGTCCCCACTTCACCTGCCCCGGGCCGGCCGGGGGGAGGGGAAGTGGGGCCTCGGAGCGGGGACTTCCGCTCCCCCTGGCCCCCAGCTTCCCCTCCCCCAGTGCCCCTAGTACTGACCCCTGGCCCAGTGGTGGGGGCCGGGGGTGGGAGGGGTCCTTTCTGACCTGAGAGCTGGATTCTGACCTCCTCTCGCCCCTCCCCCTAACCCCTCCTCCTCGCTGGCTAGACAGGCGGCGGGGTGTACAAAGCTGGGAGGACACAAGGCCCCGTGCAAGGCGCCCAGGACAGTGCCAGCCTTCCTGGGCTCGGCAAGTGGTAGCTGGTATTTTAGAAAACTTATTTGTCCCTCAACAAGACAAGGAAGGTGGGGTGAGAGTGATGATTCCCCTTTTTACAGACCAAGAAACGGAGGAACGGAGAGGTGAAGTGTCTAGTCCAAGTCACAAGACTGGGAAACGTTGGGGCTGCGCACAGAACTCAGGGCTCTCGACTCCCTGGCACCGCGGGGCCTCAGGTGCTCATTTCACGGGCAAGGAATGGGGGACCCCAGAGACTGGCAGGCTGGCACTGCCTGAGACTCACTGTAGGACCTTGGACAAGTTACACCTCCCCTGGTTTCCTCGTTCTTAAATCGATGGAGTGGACTGCCGTGATTCCTGATTTCCCTTGGAATCCAAGGGGCTAGCTGAGCCCCGAAGGTCTAGGGCCTCGGGGTGGGACTCCACGAGTGGGCGAGGTAGCCGCGGCCTGTGCAGAGAGAAGAAAAGGTTTCCCCTTTCGCTCCCCATCTCCGCCAGCCTTCCCCCGCCCTGCCTCCATCCCTCCCAGCCGGCCCCTAGGAGGCTGAACTGCGAGGTTAAATAAATATCTGACGGTGGCTCAAGGAAACGAGTCAAGACCGTTGCCGGGAGAAGAAACCCAGACCTCAGTGAAGATCCGCCCCCGAGCCCGAGCAACCCCCCCCCGCTCCGCCCCTGATGCGTGCGGAGCCCTCGGCCCCCTGGGCCTCGCCCAAGTTCCCCCAGATAGCCGGCCCCTCCAGGCGCGGCCCCTCTCCCCGACCTGCCCCAGCTCCGGCGGTGGGCGGGCTGGGGCAGGGGGCGCGCGCACAGGGTTACCGTATTTCCTCTCTTGCGCTCTAGGTTTTGAGCGCAGGTATTTAACTTCTCCAACTCACGGGAGAATCCTCTCCGGGCTGCGGAAAGAGTTCTGTTGGGAGTCGGCAGACTTGAGATTTTGTTTGTGTTCTCTTAGCTCTACCGTAATCTCTCTCCTGATCGGCAGACCTGTAAATCCTGTTTCCTCTTTCCACCTGAACGGCTAGCGGGCATCTCAAACTCAACTTGTCCAACTTTGTAATTCTGATCTTTTCCCCTAGACCTGCTCCTTTTAGTCTTCTCCACCTCAGAAAAGGGCAACTTCATCTTTCCAGTCGCTCGGGAAGAAAATCTTGGAGTTATTTCCAACTCTCTTTTTCTGTCATCCATCCAAATACCTCAGCCAATCTTATTTACTTTGCCTTCAAAATATGTCCAGAATCTGCTACTCTCCCCATTCCCCAACTGTGCCAAGCCACCATCTTCTCTTGCCTGGAATATTGCAACACCTCCTAACTTGTTCCTCTGCATCCCTCATCCCCCTCAGTCTGGTCTCAACAGAGCAGCCAGAGTTATCTTTTCAAAACCCAAGTCGGATCATGTCCCTCTTCTGCTCAAAATCTTATAATGGTTGAGCTCCTCACTCAGAGAAAAAGGTCCTTACAAGACCCTAGATGATCTGATTCCCTCTCTGCCCGTCCCTCCCGCTCCTCTGCTCCAGTCCCACTGGCCGCCTCCCTGTTCCGCAGGCAGGACAGGGCACTTCTGCCTCAGGACCTCTCCGCTCGCTAGTCCCTCTGCCTGGAATAATCTCTCTCCAGATTCCTACACCTCTTCCTCTCTCTCCCAGCTAAGGCTTTGTCAGTAGCATTTGTCACCATCTGCCATGCTCCATATTTCTTGCTGACTGGTTTGTCTGTCTCCTCCCACTAGATTGTAGATGCTCTGAAGGTAGAGGCTTTAAAAACAGGTCTCAGCGCTAGAACGGAGCTTCACACATAGTAGGCACTCGGTACATCTTTGCCGCGTGAATGAGCAAATGGAGGAATGAACTGGGCACCTGTCCTGCCTGCGGCCTGCTTTTCTCCCCTGTAGGAGTGAGCGGGGTCCAGTGAAAGTCCCCCTCAGCTTTGAGAGTCCCATGGCTCCTCCTAAACCTGACCTGCTAAAGATCCCATCCTAGGCCTTCTACAGCTCGCCTGGTGGGGTGGGGAGGGGGGCCGGGAAGTCTAGGCCAGGTTTGGCAGGGGGAGGACCTGAGGCTAGGCTTGCTTGGAGAAAGCTGGTGAGTAGGAAGGGATGGAAGAGGAGCCCCGTCTCCTATTGAAGGAGCTGGAGCCTTCCTTTCACTCCTGGGGACCACTCTCCCCTCTGGCCAGAGGCCTTTGGTCCCCTGGAGAGGCCGAAGGATGCCAGCTGTATCAAATATCCCCATGAGGAGGAAAGAGCTGGCGGTTTAGAGGGGCTGAAGGTGGGTTGAGCAGGGTCCTGAAGGATCTCCAGAAATAGGGAATTGTCCCCTTTCCTGATACTGGAGGGACAAGGAGAGGTGAAGGGGAGGGGATCGCTAATTGATCCCTCATTTGTTCAGGGCTCATATGCTTCAAATGCCCTGACACAAAGGTCCCCAGGGCAGAGGCACAGTGGCTCCTAATGCTGTAGAGGGGAGAAGGGGCAGGACCCAAGATGAGTCTTTGATGGCTGCGCTGAGGTTTTTTTTTTTTTTGAGGAAGATTACCCCTGAGCTAACATCTGCTGCCAGTCCTCCTCTAATTTATATGTGGGACACCTGCCACAGCTTGGCTTGACAAGTGGCACGTAGGTCCATACCCAGGATCTCAACCGGCAAATCCAGGGCTGCTGAAGCAGAATGTGCGAACTTAACCACTGCACCACCGGGCCGGCCCCTGCCCTGAGTTTTGATGGGCGCTGGGAGTCTAAGATGAACAAGACTCAGTTCCCATGCTGGAGAAGCTCAGACTAGTATCTAATAATTTTTAATGAATGACTGACGTGTTATAACCAGGCAACTCATTTGGGGGCAGACAAGGGAATGACTCCAACTCTTCCCATGGTGGGAGGGGATGTCAAAGGAGGCCTCCTGGAGGAGGTGACTTACCTGAGCCAGACTGGAAAGAGAAAGGAGGGCAGGGCTCTTGGCGAGGGCATGACGGCAGGGCCAGCACTTCCTGATCCTGGAAGGGATGTGGTAAGAGACGAACGTTGTGATTTGGAAAGGTAAGAGTCAGGGGTAGAAAGTGGAACTGAGGTGTCAGCTGTCGAGGTGTCAGCTGTCAAGGTGTCGCTAGCTCTGTGCCTGTGCAGACCAGCACAAGGCAGAGAAGGCTCACCCCAGGGAGGTTGTGCCCTAGTCTAGAGGGCCACTCACTCATTCAAGAAGCATCTCCGAAGGTCCCTCGTGTGCCCAGCCTGGGGCCAGGCCCTGAGGGAAGCAGGAACATGTGGAGTGAGACCTGGGCCAGTGTCAGGAGACTTGGGCCATCAACAGCTCTGGTCCAGGTTGGCTGTGTGACCCTGGAACCTCTCTGAGCCTCAGTTCTCCCAGATCTAGAGGTGATGGATAATTCCAGGTGTCCCGCATGACTCATGGATTAGATTGAGGGTCAAATGGGACAATCCTACCACATGCACTTAAAAGTGGAAGACAGAGGGACGAGAATAACATGAAGCAAGGTCTCAGTCCTTCAAGAGTTTAGCGTATGGTCTTTGTATCTTAAGTCCCCTCCCTAGGCTCCCGTACCTTCTACTTTAATCTGGATCTTGGGGCCCCTGGGACTGGTAGACTGCCTGCCTCACCTTACACTAGAGTTGGCCTTCTCCCTGACCCCAGACATCCAAGTGAAGGCTCCCCCTCGTGGTGCTTCCTGGAATAACAGGTCTCTGAGCAAGAAGAGACCTGGCCGGGTTGACCACAAAAAGGGAGCAGGAAGAGACCAGAAGAGGGAAAATCTGAAGACCTGGGAAAGGAACGGGGCAAACCGGCGAAGGAAGTAAATCCTAAAACAGAATTGTAGACTGGAAGGGACCTGGGACCTCCTCCCACAGCCCATTTTACAGCTGAGCAAACTGAGGTTCAGGGAAAAGGAAGTCAGAGGCAGGACCATGACTCAGGTGTCCATACGCTGCTCCGCTGGTGCTCATCCCAGTACACCGAGTATCATAGGCATGCATGCAACTCAACGAACAAACAGGACAGACTGCAAATTCCCTCCACATGGGGCAGCCTCCCCCTGAGGGCCTCTGACCATGCGGCCGTCCCTCCCAGGGCAAAGATTCCCAAACACCAGAGAGTCTGCACCTGGAGTGGCTGGTATAACCTCAGAGCTAATCTGTTCCGGATCCAAAGATGAGAGATAGACAACTCAGCTGGATTTTTCTCTTTTTACTGGGGTGTGGGTGCAGGGATGAGGGTGGGGGACGGCTAAATCCACAGCTAAATGACCAATTCAACGGGGTGGGGAGTGTGTGTGTGTGTGTGTATTTTGGTTGTCAGTATGGAGTGCTTTATCCAAGGTTTTTTTTTAACCTGCATCTTCTGATTTAGTCCTTGCTGCTATTATTAGCCCACTGTAGAGATGAGAACAATGAGTCACTGAAGGACCCAGTGATTTGCCACCGTCAAGAGGAACCAAGGCCGAGCACACAGAAGGCCCCGAGAGAGGCCGTTACTTGCCCGTGAGGCTGCCTTGTTCTTATGGAGCTGAATTTAGGAGGAACTCGTCCCAGCCTGTGGTCCCCTCCTGCCACAGGGGAGATTTCTCCTGCCTTCTTTGGGTCCTGGCAGCCTGGAGGGGACTCTGGCTCTAGGCTGAAGGAGCGGGGTGAGGTGGGAGGTCGACACAAAGAATGCAGCAGGCGAAGGGGGGCTGCTTGTCTGCCCTGGGCTGAGGGGCTTTCACATAGCCTCCCACTGGCTGGCGGAGGGGAGGCCTGGATTTCTGACCACCCTGGGGATTGGAGAGCAAAGGTGGGCTTGAGGGCCAGTGTGAAAGGCACTGACATTGTCCAGGAGCCGGGAGAAGACCCTGTTGCTCTGTCCCACTGCTGCATCAGCAGGGTGCTTGGTAGTTGGAGGAAACCCTGAGACCAGGGGTGGAGCACACTGGGCTCCGGGTTCAGGAGCTGTAAGACCCACACAGTGTAGACGGCAGTGAGAGCACAGGCTCTGGCCTGGGCTGTCTGGGTTCACATCCCAGCCTCCCCACTTAATAGATCTGTGGCCTCAGCTTCACCTCTGTGGGCTTCAGTTTTCTTATCAGTAAAATGGGGAATAATAGTACCTACTCTACCTACTCAAAGATTGTTGGAAGCATTAAGTAAATGAATCATATCAAGCACTTAGGAAAAGGCCTATAGTAAGTGCTCAATAAATGTATCTATTATTAGGGAAGACCTGTCTGAGTTACAACGTCATCGCCTAGACGTTTGAAAGAGGTGAGTTGGATGAGTGACTTCCAGTCGTGGGGGCCACAGCTCTCCGGGGAAGGATGGTGGTAGTGGTTGTTTTCCAGGAGAGGCAAAACTATAGAGAGTAAACCTTGGTAAAACATTCTGTGATATGTCTTGTAGAAGATTTGAATGTTTCCCTGAGGGCCACGAGTTTACAGGGTTGGTTCACAGGACCAGAGCATTGCTGTGACCCCTGGTCCCACTTGTTCTGTGGCTCCGGGGTGATCTTCTCGGTCTGGAGGGTGCAAAGGCCAGGGGGGTATCATGCTGATGTCTGGGGACCCCAAGCCCAAACCTGGCCGCTTCAGCCTTGATGCCCAGAGGGTATCATGGGGTGAGTCCCAGGGTAGTGAGGTTTCTGCGTTGTCCTGCATCCATCCTGGCCCTGGGGGGGTGGTTTGGGTGGAGGAGGAGAGAGGCCTTCGTGGGAGGAGGGCAGGCAGGGAAAGCTCCTTGCCCATCGTGTTTACTGAACTGCACTGAATTATGACTAAATGCCACGATCTGGCTTCAGGCAATTGCCTAAATCATTTAGGGGTTGACAGAGGAGGGAGGGAGGGCACATGGGCAGCTTGGGGGAGAATGTTCTTGTAATTCTTCAGTCTGAGGTACATTAAGGAGCCATAAGCCATGTCGAGAGCTTGAATTACATTAGAGAGATTATCCTGTTACAGTTCATAATCCTGGATAATATACCGTCTTGGAGCACACCTGCCCATGATCAATCTCACCCTGTAATGGCCTGACCCTGGGGACCTGGGAGGCTGGGGCAGCTGGCAGGGGCTATCGGCATGGACACAGCCTCGGCAGAGGCACCTGTGAGTCCTCCTGACACATCTTTGGGTCCCCTCCCCTTGGCTCAGCCCAGAGCCAGTGAATGTAGCTGGGTGCTTCAGACTTCTCCATCCCCATGCAAGGTGCTTGGCTCCCTAGGGCCGCTCCAGCCTTCAGCCCCACCCCATGAGCCCACGTCCTGCTCCGGTGGGTCAGACTCTTTGCATCCCTGTCTCTAGGCTCTCCTCTCCCTGAATGCCGTCCCTTTAGTCTCTCCAAACCCAGCTGGCATTTCATGCTCGGTGAAGCCCTCTCCGTGAACCCACATCGTCATCCTCCTTAGCTCCAGCTCGTGCCACTGATGCTCTCCTGTGAATGGGTATGCCGCCTGCCACAGAAAGGTCAGCAAGCTTTTCCTGAGCATCTCTCTCCCCAGATAGACTGCAAGTACCATGAGGTCAGGAACCACAACTACGGCCCCAGCACTTAGCACAGAGAGGTTAAATACCTTGCCCAAGATCATGCAACTAGTTAATGGCAGAATCAGGATTCGAACCCCAGCTGCCTGGCTCCAGAGTCTATGCTTTTGGCCACCAGGGAACACTGTCTCTCTGACCGGAGGGCTCTGTCCTGTGTCACTCTTGGGCCTGGCCCCACTTTCCGTGAGCTGCCAAATCCTTACTAGGTTCTATTTGCCTTACACTGGGGACGCTCACAAGCCAAAGGGGTGACCCTCTCATGGTGGACCTTAGGGTGGGATGGCACCCGAGCCTCCTACATTCATCCCCAGACTTTTCGAGTGGTCCACTCCACTGTGTGACCTCATTAACATCCCCGTTAGCTTCACAGCCCTGTCCCTGCCCTACCGCCATCTCTTCTGCAGCCTATTGCTTGGTCCCCAGCTCCTGGCAGGCCTGGACGTATCTGGTGTACATGGGTACCTGCCACATGTCCCTGCTCTCTCTCTGCATGACACTGAAGCCCCATCAGGCTCAGACGCTGCTTTATCCCTCCCACCTCCATTCCCCAAACATGCATTCCTTGTGTACCTGGGTGCACGCGGAGGACACCTCTGGGCCTCCTGGGGTTCGCTATGTTCCTGGGCTTCAGCTAATGTAAGTCATTCTGTGTGTCCTAAAAATAAGCCATGGCTCCCATGTATCCACTGCTCACTAAGTGCCAAGCACTGGGTCACCCGTTTCACCTGCATTGTCTCATTTGCTCCCTGAGCTCTATGAGATAAATGCTACCTAATAGCTATTTTACAGATGAGAAAGTTGAGGCTTAGAGCCGTTAAAAACAGTGTCACAGGTCAACACCTAGTAAAGAGCAGAGCTGGAATTCAAACCCACTCCCGCTAGTTCCAGAGCATGTGTGCTTAACCCCTGATGCCACCTGCTTTCTCTGCTGAATGCCAGGCACCTGAGCTCATCCCCACCCAGGCCTACCCTTCTCTATCCCTTCTCATCCCTACAGGCGTCTCTAGCACCTTCCTCCCTACCTTTCTCTTGCCAAGTTCCAGAACTCCCCTGCATTCCAAGTCACTCAGAGCTTCGTGGATTCATTGCCTCCCTGTGTGCCTCCACATCATTCATCCAGAGACGGGAGCCACGGCAGTTTGATCATCCAGCCATCCACTCCTTCCATCATTCATTCATGGAGTCCTGGAATGTCAGGGCTAGACGGGGCCTTCGAGATTATCTGGTCCAGTGGTTTTTAAACCAGGACACGTTTTTCAAAGGAAGGCTTCTGTGGAAGTTCTATAGAGAAATCAGATCAACGCAGGCAGTGGGGAGTCGGGGGTGGTGTCCAGAGTGTCCTGTCTTCTCACCCCCTTGACCCTGACAGTTGGTTGGGGGCTGTGTCCAGACACCCACTCCATGAGAACATGTTGCCTTCAGTCACAAACTGTTGCAGCAACTCATTCTCGCACAGACCTGGGCCCTAACCTCAGCTGCCACTCTCCACTCACAAAGCTACATGACCTTGGGCAAGCAAATCATGTAAACTTGAGGCCCTCCATCTATTTCCTCCCCTGAAAAATGGGAATAATAACAGGACCTACCAGTTTTATTTTTCTATTGCTGTGTAACAAAGCATCCCAAAACATAGTGGCTTCAAACAACCATTGTGCTGTCTCTCCTAGTGCGTGTGCCGCTGGGCTCAGCTTGCCGGTTCCTTTGCTGGTCTCTCATTGTTGCAGTCGAGGGTGGCAGCCATCTGGAGGACCGATCTGGATGCTGGGATGGCCGGGCCTCCTGCTCTCCGTGAACCCTCAGGAGCTCGCCTGAGGTCTCCAGCTGGATTACCAGTCGTCTTACACGGCGGCTCAGAGCTCCCAGAAGCACACAAATGGAAGCTTCCAGGCCTTCCTAAGACTTAGGCCCAGAAATAGCACAGCCTCACTTCTGCCACATCCTATTGGTTAAATTCAAGGGGAAGAGAAATAAATGCCACTTCTTGGTGGAGGAGTGACCAAGAATTTGCAGTCACCTTTAACCCACAACAGTCTGTGTGACTCTGGGAAGGAAAATTACTTAACCTTTCTGATTTTCCATCCGTGTTCTCATCTGTGAAGAACAGATACATCGATTCATGGAAAGTAGTTGGAACAGTGCCTGGCCCATAGTAAGCCCTCAGTACATGTTAGCTATGCTATTTTTATTTCTAACCCAAAGGGCCAGCCCTGTGCTAGGTAACTGGTGGGGGCTGGGGGTGGGGTGGGGCTACAAGAGTAATGGCAAAACAGTTTATACTCCTGATAATAAATAATCTAGTTCATGAGATAAAATTAACACACGCTGCGATCAAAGTACTCATTCGAGGCATTGTGTAATTAAGGAGCCCATGAGAGGTACAGATAACATACTTGAGGAAGTGGAGGACAAAGAGATTGGGCTCGGGGGTTGGGTGGCCAGAGAGGGCTTCCAGCGGGGAGAGGGCGCCCGCTGAGGGGCAGGGCTGTCTCACGGGTCAGCACAGACTCTGAGCCAAACTCCCTGCTTTCAGATCTCTGTGCTGCCACTTTATGGATGTGCCTTTGAGACCCTGAAAGATGCTTAGCCTCTCTTGGCCTCAGTTTCCCTTCTGTAACGTGGGCATGTCTCGTAAGCCTCAAGTGAAGAGTAAATGATTTATTTCCTATAAAGAGCCGCAGCGTTAGATGTGTGGTAAGTACTCAACGTTTCCCTCATCACCCCTAAGGAGAGGAGACTGGCTAGCTGGAGGGGAGGGGCAGGCCTCCCAGGGGGATGGGGACGGCGGCTGTGAGTGTAAAGAAGGAAGATGTGTGTGTCATGCTCAGGGACCGAGAGGGAGCGACTTTATACGGGGGAGATATTCTGGGGCAGGGTCGGGGGTTAGGGGGAGCTAAGGCAGAGAGGAGGGTGAGGGGCAGACTGCAGAGCCTTCAAGCCCACTGGGGTACTGGACTCGACCCACGCAGGCCGAGGGGGGCTTTGAAAGGTCTCTAACAAGGGAGGGATGCCATCTGGGCTGTCTCAGAAGGGGACCCCTGGCAGTGGTGTGGAAGTGGGCTGAAGACACAGAAATGGCTTAAGAGGCTATTGCCTCAACTGGGGCATGAGAGGGGCATGTCCTGACCTGGCTGGAGGCAGAGGGAAAGGGCAGGCACTGGCAGCCTGGAGAGAGAATCACCGTGGCTCTGGGGGAACCCCCTGCTTCTGCCCATTCGGCCCCCAGTGCCTGGCTGCTGGCTGCTGCGTGGCTTCCTCCGTTCTGGGTCTGGCTGGAAGGCTGCATTCGGGGAGGGGCACCTGGACACCAGGGAGACACATGGCCAGCTCCACCCACAGAGAATGGCCTGGACCCCACCTGGTCTCACAGTGTGGACCTGGAACAAAAGGAGCAATTCTGGGAGGGGCCTGTGGCCCAAACCAGGCCTGCAGGCCCAGAGTGCCAGAGCGAGCAGGGTCCCAGCACTGACTGACTCTGTGTGTGTGTAAAAGGGTGTGTGTGTGTATGTGTGTGTGTGTATTTGTTGTGTATGTATGTGAGAGAGAGCTTGTGTGTGTGTGTTTGTTGTGTACGTATGCGTGCACGAGAGAGACTGTGAGTGAGTAACAAAGAGGGAAGGGGGGCACCATATGTCTATTTTCTCTGAGAAACAGATGTCTCCTCAAGTGGTCGAGAGAGTCCGTAAGAGAAGAGGAAAGTGAGGTTAGGGGATCAGTTCCACATTAGCAAATAAATTGTCCCATGGACAGGGTCCTTGTGTGTGCCAATTTTTCTGATTTTTCAAATATTTTCCTTTTTTCTCTCTCTCTCAATCTTTCCTTTTCCAGTGTTTTTTCCTTCTCTCTCCCCCAAGCTCGCACAGCCACAGGCCTGGTATTCTCTCTGCCTGGCGGTCATGGGGTTCAAGCCAGATCCTGAGGGCCAGGAGACCCGTGCTCCCTTCCTTTGTGCCACCTCCTGACCTGTGGTCAGGCCCCACTAGGAGAGGAGTGGGGTCACAGACCAGGGAAGTCCCTCCATCTTGCCTCTGCCAAACCTTGTCCTGGGAGCGTGCCTTTCCCTCTGCTCTCCTCTAACAGACACATAATGAGCCCAAATGATGCGCCAGGCACTGGTCCAGTGCAGGGGACTAGGGGCAAGCCAGCGCTGGAGTCCCCCTCCCCCAGCGCCCTCCTTTGGGAGAGTGGGGTAGGAAGGGCATCTTTTGCTCCATATTGAGGAATAAAGAGCAGGAACGGGAGTCACCCTCCCTGTTTCTCTTGGGTTTGCCGTTCTACTTCCTGGATGTGTCTCCACTTTTTGAACCCCCTTTCTGGTGAGAAAAGCAGAGAAATTGGAGCCAGAGAGGCCCGGGTGCAATCCCAGCTCTGCCTCTTTCAAGCTGTGCGATGTTCACCAAGTGGCTTCACCTCTCTGGCCTCCGTTTCCTCTTCTGCACGACAAAGATCCTTATGACGTTTGTCGCTGCGTTGTTGGGAGAATTAAATGAGAAAATGAACCTAAGTGCGTAACAAAGGCGTTTTCCCCTCTTTTTTGTCTTGTTTCTTTTTCCTTGCCCCTTTCCTTTCATTTATTTAGGAAAAATTTACTGAGTCTTCGATATATTGGAAGTGTGGGGAAAAGAGAGGGACAGGAGTCCTGGTCTCTGTTCTCCGCAAAGCAAGACTTGAGCCGACCTCGCAGCCCGGCCCGCTGGCCTCAGCCTTCATCACGTCCCATCTTTATCCCTGAGGAAGGGGGAGCTCCGAGCCTTCTGAGCAGGGGGTGACACGATGGCACCTGTGTTTGAGGACAATGAGCTGCTAGTGGTCACTCCTCGTTTTCTTCATCTTCCCTTCTCCCTCCCTGTGACTCTCCTCTCCCTTCCTTCTCTCTGCTCCTCTCCCGCCGCCGTTCCCCTCTCCCCTTCGGCTCCCCCTGCGGCTTGCCAGCTGCCAGGAGATGACATCTCCTTTCATGTTTGGGGCTGAGCACGGCTTTGAATGTTCGTTTGATTCCGTTAAGATAATAGCTGGTTCACTGTCAGATGCAGACTGATCAGTTAAAACCTTAATCACTGCCTGTCTCCTCACACGGCACTTATTTTTTAAGAGATTAATCCCCTCAGCCCTGCTCCAGCTCACATTGGGCTAGAAAAAAAAGGCAAGGTTTGTGCTATCCTTATTATTATTATTGTTGTTATTGTCAACCTCGTTACTCCGCATATTAACTCCTTCCCTCTGTTCTTTCAACCGTTTCTTTTTTTTTTCCCCTCTGGGTTCCCAATCCTCCCCTCAGCTCACGTGGATTATCTGTCTCTCAATTTCTCTGTGTCTCTGTCTCTGTCTGTCTCTGTCTCTGTCTCTGTCTCTCTCTGTCTCTCTCTCTGTCTCTGTCTCTCTCTCTCTCTCTCTCTCTCTCTCTCTCTCTCTCTCTCTCTCTCGGATGTGGCTCTCCAGATAGAGTGTGAGCGCAACAGCCCCATACACGCCCCGCTGCCTCCCCATGCACACTGCATGTTCCGGCACGCTTTTCCGGGTTAGGAGAGCGTCCAGGCACACAGACCAGGGCGGCTGGAGGATGCAGCTCTGTGCCGTGGGCTGAGCCCGCACTTTGGAGTCAGACTTGCCCCAGTCCTCCCTCAGATACTCACGTGCTGTGTAACCTTGGAGAGGAGCCTCAGTTCCTCATCTGTAAAGTGGGGGTGAGGACGCTCACTTCTGGGAGGCCATGAGCTCTGAGCACCTGAAAACAGGTAAGTACTCACGCATGGCAGGGCCCGGCACAGAGAGGGGCTCAGTGTTATTTCTGTTCCTCCTTCCCACCTCCCAGATTCCACGGAAAGATCCTTTCCAGAGGTTGTCCAGTCTCTCCCTGAAGATGTCACATCCTCTCCAGGCCATTTTGCAGATGCTCCTCACTTGATGACCTGTCTCAGCAGACCAGCCATGCCCAGTGTCAGGAAGGAGATCCTGCTTGACTGGTAAAGGGAACTCATGTTTACAGGAGAACCTAGAGTTCTACAGAGGAAAGGAACCCAGAGACCTTCTAGTCCAACCCCTCAAAGTACATGAAGATTCTGAGGCTCAGAGAGGGCATGACTTGGCCCAGGTCTCATAGTGCATTGTGGCAGGGCTGGAACTAGAATTCAGTCCTGGCTTTGCACTTGTCACCTAAGGAGAACTAGTTAGTCAAACAACCAATATTTACCTAGCACATGTGATGCGCGCAGCCCAAGGCCATCTGAGGGAAGGACAATGCTGTGCCGCACTGGGTGGTCCACAGGCTGGCCTAGACCTCTTCCTGCTCCGGCTGGTGCTGTAGGCACAGGAAGGCTTTCTGGAGGGGTGGCATGGGTGGGATGGGGATGGCAGGACTCCTGGGCAGGGAGATGGAAATGAACACCTGAGGACCACTGGGGACCCTGGCCCCGTTCCAGCATGGTTCCAGGCCTTAGTGAGATGCTCTTATGGAGGCCAGGAGCTGTCTGTCTGCACTCTCCTTCTCCGTGGAGGTCGCGAAACAAAGCACAGGACTGCAGTGGCAGTTACAGAGATCCATGTTAGGTAGAAAGAAGAACTTTCTGGCCCTGACGCATGGGAACAGGTGACCAAAGAAGACTGGTATCCCCATCATTGGTTCCATTGCTTCCTTCCTTCTTGGCAAGGTGTTAAGAGCCTGGAATCTGCGGCCAGACTGCCTGGGCTTAAATCACTTGCGAGCTGGATACCTTGGACAAGTCACTTAACCTCTCTGGGACTCATTTTCCTCCTGTAAAATGGGAGTAATGATAGTACTTAGCACTTAGTGCCTGGCATACAGTAAGTGCTACATAAGCGTTAGTCCTGACTTTTCAGTAAAGATGTATTGGACATCTAAATGCGCCAGGCCCACACCAGGTGCTAAGGATACAGAGTTGAACAAGACGTGGTCCCTGCTGCCAGGATGAGCTCTGTCTCGTGGGGAGGCAGACAAATAAACTCACATTTGCAGTCCCATGTGGGGAACACCCAGCCCAGCCTCGGGATGAGGGGCAGCCTCCAGGAAGAAGTAGCTTGTGAGCTCCATGAGGGTGGGACTTTGTCTGTTTTTCCCACTGCTGTGTCCCCAGTGCCTAGAATGGGGCCTGGTGTAGAGTAGGAGCTGTCAATCTTGGTTGATGGATAAGTGATGAGCCAATTGAGCTAGGTCTTGAAGAAGGACCAGAATGACAAATGTTCCCTCCCTGGGCCTCAATCTTCTCATATTGAATGAGGGCTCAGACCAGACTCCAAGGGCCCTTCTGGCTATTCTAGAAATCTATGACAACTGATGGGGTGGGGATGCAGACGAGGATAGGGAGAGGGGGGTGGGAGAGGAGGATGCAGGGTGAAGAGGATGGGGTAGGGGTTTCATGCCAACTGATGGGAGGGGCAGGGAAGTGGGAGTGGGGGTGGGTTCCATTCCTGCTTAGAGGCAGGGGGCTGGAAAGGGTTGGGGGGCCTGAAACATCCTCCCCCAGTTGCCTACACCAGCAGAAGGAGGCCCGGGGTTAATGGCATGACATCCCTGCGGCTGTCTGCCCAATGGGCTTCTGATGCCTTTTCTAATTTGGTGAGTGCTGAAGATTAGAAGGCAGGGAGAAGAGAGTTTTCCTCTCGCAGGTTATTATCCTGCCAACTCCCCGGGCACCCAAGGGAGGGAGTCAGCGTGTTCCAGGAGAAAAGGAAGCAGGGCCTGGCATTCTGGATCGAGTGCCCCTGGGGAGTGGGGAGGGAGCCAAGGCTGGTGCAAATAAAATTGATGCTATTAATGGATCTGGTGCTGGCTGAAATGGGAGCAGCAGCCGGCTCAGCAGCAGCAAAACCGGGGGGAGGAGGGAAAGGCACTTCCTGGAAGTAGAACTCACAGATGCTGAGAGTCTTCCCCTTGAAGGGACCCCAGGTTTGCCTTTTCCTGGACAAGAGGGGCATCCTCACCATGTGAGTCACACAGTCCTTCTCTCCCTACTCCACCCCTCCTCAGCTTAGACCAAGGGTCCTGAGGTGTGGGGTGATGCCAACGCCAGCTGCTCGGGGGAAAGGCCAATGCCTCCGGGCTGCAGGCCACATGGACCCAGTCTAGAGAATTCCATCACACACCTGGCCCTGCTCCCAGCTCACACTGGGAGAACAAGAAGGAGGGAAAGGCAGGCTGGGAGGTTTGGCTATTCTGGACTCAGAAAGGGGCCCCAGGACGGTCCTCCTGGCTGGAAAGAGCATCCGCTGAGGCCTGCCTCTGATGATTAAAGCCTCACTATTAGCTTGTCCTTGTGAGGCTAGGGCTGAGTGGTGTCATGGGGGGGCGCCAGCCTGGAGGCTGGGAATGATGAGTTCTAGTTCTACCCTGACCCACTAACTAGCTGGCTGACCTCAGGCTGGGCACCACCTCTCTTTGGGCTTCTGTGTCCCCAGTACACTGGGGATCTGAATAAGATCTTTTCTCAGGTCCTGCCGGGAGGCGGTGGCCTGTGTTGACGTGTGCCTGCCCCTGAGGTCACACATGCACTCCTCCGAGACCCTTCCCTACCCAGTCACAGCTGCGGCTGGGGCTTAGAGGATGGGGAAGAGGAGAAGGGCGTGGGGAGGGGGCTGCTGTGGGAGGGACCTAGCACGGAAGAAGCCCTGGGGAGGCGGGGTGGGGGAGGGAAGCACCGATCCACGTTGCCCCCTGGGCTGTCTGCCAGCCCCCAGGGTGAGGAGGGTCCCAGGGCCTGGTGGGCAGCAATGAGGGTCTGAACAGCAGCAGCCTGGTGGGGCACCCTTTCCAGACCAGTGGGGTACCTAATCATTAGACACCCTGAATGAATCATTTTAAACACCCCCCTCATATAACAAAATTATCGTCATAATAATAAATAATAAATAACAAATAATCACAATGGCCAGAAAAAAAAATCAGACAGTGAAAATGTTCTCCCATTAAACTTTGTATAATCATACCAGTAAATAAATAATAAATAACATGAATATTACAGTGCAGAAAAGACAAAAGTAGTCAATTGCCCTTTAAAATTATATTAATTTTTTTTTAGTAGGGGAAGAAACTAGATGAAGAAAAGTTCCCCAAAGAGTGAACTCTGCAAGTTTCGGAGAATGATTTGCATGGAGAAAGGCAGGATTGAAGTGGCTGGAGCCTGTGACTTTGTCTTTGCCATCTCTATGCGTCATTGTTTATTTTTGAACCTACTGTTTAAACACCGGAATGTTTAGAACTACAGGAGCTCATGAGAACTGTGACCGAAAGCAGCTCTAATGACTCTGAATTGTTACAAACTTCCTCTCGAAATGGAGTGTAGCCGGGTTCTGTGTGTTCCGGCCTGACTATATACGCGGGAGTTCTTCAAATGAACTCCCGTGCCTCGGCCGATCCTTATGGAAGGATAAGTAATAGAGACGCGCTCACTGGAAGCTCACGTAGATGGTACTGAAACTCAACAGTAACCACAGCAATTACTTAGAACACAGCACAACAGAAGACTTTTTTCAGGGACAAGTATTTTATCACTGACACAGAATTGCTGGCGCACGGTGATAAGAAAAAGGCAGATTGACTTGGAGGCAATTTTATTATTGTTTTAAAGTTCTTTACAGACAATGAACCCTTTCATTGCCTGCAGCCAAGGTGGACGGCTCCCACTGTCCCCACCCCTGCTTCTCCATTGGGGTTTGCACATTCGCAGCCCCAAATTCCAGAAACCTTTGATCCAAACCCTTCCCAATCCAGGCAAGTTAAGAAAACAAAGGCAAATAGCAATACATTTAAATCATCATCATTGTTGTTGTTGTTGTTATTTAATAAGTAGCAAGTTTCTAACAGTACCTATACCGTGGTCCAGGCATTGTGTTGAGTGCTTCACATTCCTTAGTTCCCTTGATGCTCACAACCATTTTGGGAGGTAGGTTTTATTAAGCACATTTTATAGATGAGGAAACTGAGGCTTTTAGGGGTTGCATGCATCCAGTTTACCTAGCTGGTGAGTGTCAGAGCTGGATTCACACTCCAGAGCCCAGGCTCTTGCCCTCTACACAGTGGATGTATCGAGTTGTGTGAGGATTAACTGCAACAGCGCAAACAAGCAATGAGCAGATAGCCTGGTACCTAATAAGTATAATAATGAATATAATAATCATCATCAGAATAACAGATATAACACTTCTGAAATATAATAATAAATGTAAAGTGCTTGCATATTCCTGGCACAAAGTAGGCAGCTAAGAATGGCAGCAGCAGGCCTTCTTTGATTGCACATCCAATGAGTCGAGCGAGCCATGTTGCAGACTGAGGACAGGGGGTCATTTTGCAATGGCCAAGGGATCAGGGAAGACTTCCTGGAGGAGGGAGGTCTTCATCTAGGCTCTAAAGCAGGCTACCGTCAGGAGCCTCGCCTTCCCTGCTTCTGCTCCTGCATGCGGGTAAGACATGCTTTGTCTTGGTGATGGCACAGGGCAGAGCTCCCAGTGCATGTGGATCCTGGGCCTGGATCTCTTCCTTCTCTGTCTCCTCACTACTCCAAGGCCACCTCTGTCTCCCAGGCAGGGTCGTGCTTCTTCCACCACTCCTGCTTCTGGCTAACCCTTACCTGATTCTGCCCCGTATTATACTTATTTGTAGACACCAAAGGACCCCACCCCCCACCCTCCACCCCCTCCACTGCCACTGAGGACTTTCTTTCTACTTATTTTATTTAACAAACACTTATTGAGTGCTTACAATGTGCCAGGCCTGTTCTAAACACTTTCAAACATTCGCTCATTCAATCCTCATTATAGGCCTATGAGGTAGTTACTATTATTGCCTCCATTTTACAGATGGAGACACTGAGGCACAGACATTCACTTGGTTAGTAAATGGCAGCTGAGATTCAAACCCAGGCAGTCTGGCTGCAAACTCCATGTGCTTGACCACCACGCTAAGCTTTGAGAGCAGGAAGGGTTCTCTAGTCGTCTCTGCAGCCCCTGCGAACCCGGGCCTAGTGTCCTCCTCGTACAGTACAGAGTCAGGTGACGTGGGAACTTTTCTTTGAATGAATTGAATTGAGCTCACTTGTCAGACGTCTGGCTCCTGACACCATGGGGCCCCATTGGAACCAGGGGTTCTCAGCTGGGGGCAGTTTGTCTCCCTCCTCCCTGGAGACATTTGGCAATTTCTGGGGGTCACAACCGGGAGAGGGGTGTGTTTGTGCTACTGGCATCTAGTGGGTAGAAGCCAGGGATGCTGCTAACATCCTACCATGCACAGGACAGACCGCACGACACAGACTTATTCGGCCCAAATTCGAGAAATCCTGCTCTAGAAGCCCAGCTCCATCATGAGATGCCCTGGACAACCACTTTCCTTTTCCAAGGCTGTAAGAGATGATACAAGGCTGGGAGGGCTAGCATGGCTCCCCCCTAATGGCCCTGCCTCCACAGCCCCAAACACCCCACAGTAATGGGGCCTAGTGCATGGACTACAGACTCCCAAATGCAGCAGGCTGCCAGCCTCCCCATCAGTGGGATGGGAAAGAGAGGAGGGCTTTGGGGGACCAAGTTCTGCCCTCTCCTGCTGGCTCTGCCTCTTACCAGATACAGGACAGAGGGTATGTGACCTCACCCTCCTGAGTCTCCGTCTTCTCATCTCTAAAGCATGGGTTCACAGGCTTCAGCAAGGGTCGGCCAAGATAATGGCCAGGCAGCTAACTGCTATCGTGACTCTTATGGGGTGGGAAAGGTCAGACTTGGGGTGCATCTTGCAGGCCTAAGCCTACCAGTTCCTGTTCCCTCTATGAGGAGAAGCAGTTTGTTTTGGGGGGGGGGGGGAACAGATCTTCTTCCTCCTCCCCACTCCTCCCTCCCTCTCAGGGAAAGGGAGGGGGAGGAGGGGTCCCACCGGAGTCCCAGGCCTCCAGGTCTGGGAGCAGGAGGCAGAAGAGGAGAGGTCAGGGAGGAGCTCAGGGGCCAGCAGGGAGCCCAGGCGCCTGCAGACCAGGCTGTGTCCCATCGGACCTGGAATCCACTTCCCCAGACAGTAGCAATTATCCCAATCAAACAGTTGACACCAATTACACACCAGGCTGAGAGGTGACAGGGGCTGCGCGCAGGCGCCGTGGCTTTGCATATCTTAATGCAGACTGACAGCCGCTGACCCGCAGGGGCACTGGCCTTGCCAGCTCTCAGCTGTTCCTGTGGCACCAATTTTCAGAGCCAAATGACTGCCAGGGCTCCACCCATTTGCAGGACGGAACTGCGTCCAGAAGGAAGAGCCGTGTGCGCCGCCAGGGTTCCCGGATTCTGCAGCGCAGGGCCCACGGGGGACGGCTGGTACTGCTCTTCCCGGGAGGGCCGAGGACTTTTGGGGTCCTGCGAAAAGAGTCCATCGGGTCCCCGTGGCCCCACTCAGGAAACCCACCGCGCACTGCGGAGAGGGCGCTCAGCCTGCAGTCTATCTGGCCTGCACGTGCGAGCTCTCACTCTTCCCCCGATCCTCGTGGATCCTGATCCTCGAGAGAGGGGATCAGGAAGGGGTCTTTTAGGAAGCTGGTCGTGGACACGTTTCTTTTCTTTTTGGGGGAATTAAGCAATGTGTCTTTGCCATGCTTTCTGCTGGGTGGGCAGGAGGGGCAGCCATGCATGAGGTGCTGGGCTAGAGGCCAGGCAAGCCTGGAGACCAGCCAGCACAGGTGGTGTGAAGACGGACTGGGCCTGCTGTTCATGCCATGGGACCAGGAGGGTCAGGGATCCCTGGAGCTTTAGTTTCCTGACCTGTAAAGGCCCTCTAATTTTAGGACAAAATCCCCTAAAGAACAAGTTACATTCTGAGAAGGCCGTAAGAAAGTCCAGGTCAGGAGTCAAACTTCGGGCATTGTGATGACCACACAAGGTGCTTTCCCTCCTCCTTACAGGGCTGCAAACTCCTGGACAACCCACTTGGTCCTCCCACACCCACATAGTGTGTGGGCACCCTGAAAGACTGCAGGAGGGAAAGAGAAAGGAATCCAGTTCCAGGCTAAGCTTTCAAGTCTGGCCTGCCTGCAAGTCAAGGAGGACTGGGGTGGGAGGGGCCCCTCGGGAGCAGGTAGACTAGTCTTCTGGGCCCAGCAGCTTCTTTGCCACCAGGGAGGAGGCGATCACCTTACAAGAGCACTTTCCCAGATGAAGAGTTTCCCTGAGGGGTCTGTCTATTTCAGCACACTCGCTGCTGGAACTGCCAGCCCAATTTGCATCTCTTAGATGCACCTCCATTCTATTTTTCCAATTTGTCAGAAAAGAACTTTTTGGAAAACTGAGCATTCCTCCCTCCCCATTGTCCAAATGGAAAAACAGAGATTCAGCAGGGGCAGGGGGTCCCGGAAGAGCTGGGAGTGGGGCTGGAACTCTGGGGGCCATGAAAGTCTGACCTGCCACTGATGGGGCTCCAATTCGGCCCTTACTGGACACCTACCGGTGCCTGTGTGGGGTTCGGTCCCTGGATGCCAATCCTCTGGCCGGATCATGAGGATGGAGTAGTGTCAGGGCAACTACCCTACTTTCCAGACGTGGCCTGGGGACCCCATTTAAGCCCCAGCCGCGCTGCTGGCCTGGGCGGCTCTGCTGAAAGCGCCGTTTCTGTGCGGAAATCCAGAGCCAATCTTCTGGCCACGGCTCTTCGGAGTTGCGGCTCAGACCCGGCAGCCCAGGAATCCGGATTCCAGGCCTCTTGCTTTAAGTCGTCAGGCTTGCTGGTGCCAGAGCGTTAGGGCTTCGCCCTGGGGTCAAGGGATCAGGCGCGGAGGGCGGGACCGAGGCGTCCGGTCACCCCTCGGGCCCTGGCCGCCACGTGCGCGTTCTGTCCCCTGCAGCTGGGTGGCCGCATTAGTCACCGTCCCCGCCAGGGGTGGCGCCCTGCCCAGGCGGCAGAGGCAGACGCCGGGCCTGGGTGCCAAGCGGAAGTGGGTGAGATTCCGCCGCGCGGGGGTCGGAGAGGGGGCCCGGCTGCCTGGCTGGGCCGCGAGACCCCCAGGCCCGCGGCGCCCAACCCGGCGCGCGGTGTCGTGAGGCGCTCGGCCACCGCGCCCCGGCGACTTTAAACCGCGCGTGTAGCGATTCCCGGGTCCTCCGGGAGGGCGGGCGACGCCCCTGACACCGACGGGGAAAGTGTATCGGTGTATCGGTGTATCGTGTCAGCAAGTGCATGGGCCATAAAGGCCGAATGGGATTCCTGGGGATTAAGGATCAGACACAGGGAGCCCTGTTCTCTCCTTCCCCGCCCTCTTCCCCACCCCAGGAAGAAGAAAAAGAAAAATCTGTTGGAAATGCACTTTTTCCCCCTGCCACCCCCCTTCTCCTTCTGCTTTCACCGACTTAAAAGAAAAATAAAATACATTCCAGGAACCAGGACGGCTGCGGAGTAAACTCAAACCAGAAAATGCTTAAAGATGTTTTAATGACTTAAACACAGGGGCCGGTTTGTGTCTAAAAGTTTCCACATTAAAAAAAAAAAAAGGCAAATTCAATATTAAATATCCTTCCACCGCCTCCTGGGCCCCTCCACCAGCCCCTCCGCCGCCCTGCCAGCTTCCCTGAGCCTTCTGGGCGGCTCCACCGCCCGTTTTCCTCCGCACCTCTGCTTTCAGCTGTGGGCTATTAGCACCCGGTGTGAACAGAGACCAGGCCCCTCCATAAAGTTTATATTCACATTCCAAAAATGAAAAAACAAGGAAAGGAGAGAAAAACAACACCCTAGGAACAGGCCCAAATGCTCCAGCAAGCAGAGGCCTCCCGGCTCCCCAAGCTCAGGGCCGCAGGAACTGTTAACTAGCAGCTGACAG